GTTTATTTTAAGTGTAAACACTTTCTCTTTGACCTTTTCTTCTTTCATTGTTAAATAGAAAATTTTAAAATCAATAAGAGTAGATTTGATATGTTGGGAATATAAGAGAAAATAAATAGCTATTTTAAAGAGTTTTCTAGATTCATAAACTAAGGAGTACGGTATATGAAGTAGAGAAAAATGGAGCTAAAAGGATAAATATGGTACAATAAACAAAGTAAAATAATATAAATTGTGATCATGTGATGGTTAAGGAGACTCTTGTGAGGTCTCTATAAAAGAGATGCTCTTAGTATGAAATTTTTCTCAAAGGTGTGAGTCAGTAATAAGGTGAGCCAGGTAACACATGCTTTAAGAAAAAAAGTTTACACATCTAAATTAAGGGCAAATGATAAAAAGTACAAAAAGCCGCATACGCCCTATTGCTTTAAGAAAAATGGTAAAGAGAACAATTCACTTCCAACTTCCAGGTATTATCATCATCCCACGAATCCAAACAATCAAACGATCACTTTGATAGGAAGCAACTGGTCCAAAAATGCATGAAGAAACTGGCTAAGAACAGGTCTGTTAAAATGCATTTACACCTCCAACTCAAAAGAATTCTAAATCAAGGAGACATAACAGCAAAGAGTTTCCTTCCAAAAAAAGCGAAAATTGTCAACCAATATGATTACTAAATGCACCATTCAGAACATTCATGCCGTAAACTACAAGCTTAAATCAAACTTCTCTGTTACAAACAACCTATACCCTTCTCTGCAATCCCCCTTCCATTTCATGGCAGATGGAGGACACTGCGTTGCAATGGTTTTAGAGAACGTTGTGTCTATAATTGTATATCGAGTCATATCAAAAAGATGGCAAAAGAAGACTCAGGAAGAAACATTAAGAGAAACTGATAAAACCATTACACATATTTACACAATCTTCCGCTGGCCTATAGACAAAATTACCTATACAAGCTAAAAACCTAGTATAAGAAGAAAGACCAAATCACCACTCTTTTGCTTCTAGGATCCTACCAATCATTCCACACTTTCTTAACTCTAGCATCATAATTTGAGGAAAAGAGAAACAAAAAGGGCTGGGCATTGATGTCATGTACTCATGTTAGTTGTAGACAAAGGCAATTGTAAGGTATGAGCTTTAAATTTGTGTTGTCAGGCTTGAAGGTAAATGTTGTAGTTGTAAAATATGCGTTCTCAGGCTACATTCAGTCACCTGATGCAAAAAAAGAAGAAGAAGAAAAGAGAAACCCATTAAGGATAACTTAGAGTCAAAAGATAGAAAGAAACAATTCTTCCTATGATATTTGCCTCTTCCAAATGCCTTCTAATTTCCAGTGAAACAAATTCTGACATTTACCTGCATGGCTGTGATTGATGACAAGAGATCTTTGCACTGACTGAGCAAAGCACCCTCGTTTGCACTTACATTTGCCAGTTCAGTCAGCAAAGAGTTCATTTCCCCAACCTACAGGTAAAAGAAATTATTTTAGTCATGGTGCAACGGTTAGGGGCTACTGCATGCCAGTTAAATTTGCTTTGAGGCTACCCAGTACTTCATCATAATATATGAATCCAAAATTATTACAAGAAGTCATATTTAAATTCACTGCACAACCTTTTGGCAAAATCAATTTGACTAGGAAAAATGCAAAGAGAGGTTACAGAGGGCACAGGATAAAAGCAAAAGTTGCTTTGACCAGAGACAAGGGAAAAAGGTGAGTGGGAACATTAACAAATGAAATTCATTAGATAATATGACTGTATTGACTATTGATCACATACAACACCACACCAATTTAAAAATGAGAAGCACAGGACTTTTTATGGGTCATGGAGAATTTCACTCATTTATGAAATGTAAACCCAAATATACTTGCAGAAATGTAGTGCCCCTCAATACTAATTTTTTTCTACTGATTGAAAGGCATAACAAACCTCAAAAATAAATTAAAATGAAAAAGCATAAGTTCTCAACCTCAACTTCAGGCAAGAGATATTTAGCTATATTTTATGTCACAGGTTTCTGAAACTGTTTAGTTGGTGATAATAATAAGTAATCAAAATCTATGAAAAACCAAATTCTTTAGGGGGAGGGGTAAGGAATTGACTTCTTTTCTCTTGTTTTTATTCTTTATGTGTAGTTTGGTCAGGGAGAGGGAAAGAGGTTGAAGGAAGAGAGAAAAGAGAATCACTTTTGATATCAAGGAGCAAACTGAGGATGCCATAGCCTGCATCACATGAATTGCTGAACAAATGGCATCATTCAACTTTCTGATGTCAACCTGTACACGTCAAGAACCAGTTCATGATTAAATTCAAAATGTATTGATTGCTGGGAAATAGTGCCACATCTCAAAACATGAGAGGCCAAAAGAAGGAACACACCCTTGCCCCACCAACAACTGGAAGGCGAAGTGTGCTAGCCCTCAAAGCTTCAGTAGCCCCTAACAGAGAACTAGAAAAATTGCCATCCAGAAGAGCCCATTCTTCTAAATATACCATCTGCACTCATCAAATGATAATAATATAAGATATAGTTAGCAAAAGAGGTTGAATGACATCAAGTAGCTCCACAAACAAGCATGCATGCATGACAATGCCTATAAGAACAAGAAGAAGAGATCAGTCCTAAAATACCTTTGTTGATATTATCCCTTTTTTTTCTTTCTAATACAGAGCAGAAGATGTAGGCAACAGAAAATGCTCCAAAACAATTGGATAATTATAAACATGCAACAACAATGTCCTTAAAAACAAAGTTCTAGCACAGAAATTATCAAAGTGAAGAAGAAACATAAGCAGAATCAGAATGAATCGTACTTGCCCCTTGAGGATGGACACCAGCTTCAAGTGTTGCCTCAACAGTTGTAACTCAGTTTTCTTGGCTCTAACAGATTCTCGCAATCTTGAGGTTGATATCCATGCATTATGTAGACTTATCTGATACAAGCAAGAGCTTCCATTCCATCAGATGTCTAAAGATAATTAATAAAATAAAAAACCTAAATTGCAGTTAATCCAAAATATATGTAACTGTAGAAAAAGCAGGTAAAAAAAACCTCTAGAAAACATACAAAAATCATTGATCAGGAAAGTTAATGCTATTAGGCATCTATCAAGATTGCTAGAACCACAAAAATAAGAGACGACCCCATTTCAAAAATCCGTGAAAATCAAACAAGTATCTACCAAAGCCCTGCTCTCTGATCAATAGATTATTTCCCTTATTGAAATTGTGTTCTCCTTCAAACTGGAAGCATAATTCTAACTTGTTGATTACAAGACTGAACAAGAATTCTATTGAGCACCATGCCAGAAAAAGATCAACCACCACCTTAGGTGATACCTAAACTAAATTGCACCTAAAAATTTATGCATATTGTAACAGAAACATAAATAAAACCAAACATATATTGCTTTGTACCAACAGAGTTTGTGTCGAGAAATTTGAAGTCAATACTCGGAAAAATAAAGATAAAGAGAGTTCAGAAGTGAGAAGCCATACCTCTGCAGTCAAGCTTTGAGCAGACTGAGCAGTATCAGCTTTAGCATTGACAAAACGCCACTGCAACAGCCTGTTATGGAAAAGCCTCAACTGATGAGCATCAAAGACCCTATTCTCGCCAATCTTCCCTCTCTTAACATCTGCAGCAAAACTCAAAAAGGACTGCGTGTAACCCAAATTATCACTCAACCCACCCATCATCCCATTTCTCACCCTAGACGGGCTCAGTCTCCTCAATGGGGAGGGAGCCGACAGTGGCCCGTGCTTACTCGGGGAAGCAGGCCGCGCTGGCCCTCGAATAGGAGATATCTGCCCCCGACTGTTCAGAACACCTTTAGGAGATGACACAGCACTTTCAAGTCCAATCTTCTTCGGCGCAATAAGCTTAGGTGGAGCTAGAGTTTTCTTCAAGACAGGTGACCTTGGCTCTGGCTGGCGCTGCAACTTGCTGTTAGTCTCCTGCCAGAACCTTGCGGGAACAATAATTCCTCTGACTCCACGCTTCCCTTCTCCATTATCATTACATTTACTCTCTTGAGATTCAGAAGTATTACCAGAGGTCACACTCTCAGTGTCAGAAACTACAAGATCAAACTGGGAATTGGATCCAACAATTTGAACATCAGTCTCCTCTTCCTTGTGTGTAGTAACATTCATTGAAGCGGAGAACAATCTTGAGTCCAGAGAAGTCCGTTTATTGATCATTGAATTCTGCAGCGCCCTAACCACATTGCTGCCCCCAGATCCACCCAATTGCCTCCTCACGTCGGTGCAATCCAGACTCTTACTCATTGAATTCGATCGCCGCAAGCTCCCCGGCCACCTCTCCACCTTCGAATTGTCCGTCCGATCCGGTCCTTTCCCAGGCATCGTGGTCGCCTGCTTTCGCCTCTCTGGCGTGCCTTGTCTTGCCACACTTGGAGACGGTGCTGGCTTTGCCTTGCTCACCTGAATCGAAAAGGACTCTCCCTGAAACGAGACCGACAAACTTCTCGTCGAGGTAAAGAGCACCTTCTGTGCCTCGGTCAATTCACCGTTGCGCGGAGTTCCAGCCCGCCTCCGTTCCACCGACTGAGACCGTCTAATTACTGAAGAAACCAGCCTCATAGGACTAGCCATAGCCGTCGAATGGCCATTCCTTGACACCAGCGGCGAAGGACAGCGTTTCAGGGACGCTGATGACGACAATGACGAGGAAGATGAGGTGGATGAAGACGAAGTCGACAGGTATCGAGAGCTGACCTCCCGAGACCTCGGCCGGCGGGTATTGAGAGCATTGTCAGGGTCGGAAGACAACAGAGGAGGTCTCTTAGGGTTCTGATGCTCAACACCTCCTTGTGCTTTTGCGTTTACCGTCGATACTGCAGCAACTACCATCGCGCACGCTCAAAATTCAATTCCAATCTCATTCTTTTAACCTCACTCTCTCAGCCTCGATCCTATATGTTCTCCAATCCACAGTAATCAAAACCACCACAAATCCGAATCAGAAGCTTCACGCTCAGAATAAGCGAGGCAATTCCGCCGGAGTAAATTCCGGATTTAAGACGAAGTTTCCAAAAGAGAGAAGAAACGACCGTTATCCGGCGGGCGAGAACGGAGGAGAAGACTCGGGCGCCGCTTATGCGAGATTTTAGAGCATAACTGTCGTAGCAGTGCGTTTGGGTTTGGACTTTCGGGGGGTGAGAAGCAGAAAGGATTTTTGCTTAATTATTTTAAATTGGAGAATTAGAATGCGAATCGCGGGGTTTTATCTCCGGCTCTAAACTCGCGTGCTGAGGTCGTCACGTGCGTAGGTGAGGGTAGTTTTGTAAACTAAAGAGAATTATCTGTACCGGAAGAAAGACACGTGGAGGCTTGTTCGCGGCGTGAAATTTGCACGTTAATGGAATTGACGGGAGAAAAATGTATTGAGGTGTGTGAATCTTCGGAGAAACGTTTACGCTATCGACAATGCATTTAAATTCTTATTAAGAAGAGTAAGATAAATTATAAAAGTAAATTAAAAAATATATATTTTTAACATATTTATTTATAAATTAATTAAAAAAAAAAAAAGGTTTTTATGGAGTTTGAAAATGCAAACCACGTGAGTGAACATGAATAGTGTTGGTGCAACTTTATCAGTCCACCTGGGACTGCAAAGGCAAAATTACAGTAATTGAACATCTTGACGTGGGTGTGTATGTATATGGCTACCACTTGATTTATCAT